GATATCATAACAGATTTAGCCGAAAGGCAGAAAAGCAGGCAGAGTGCTCAAGGAGCCGAAATTGAAAAATAAATAAAATTATGCGTGGCAGCATTTTTTTGAAATCATTGGCAGGCGACGAAATGTTGCTAAGAAAATGAGGAAAATGTCTTCATGCTTCACTTGATTTTCCCCTTATTTTTCTGCAAATGGGCATCCCATTGAAAATTCAAATCACACCAAATTCTCAAAACACACAAATCGCCGTCGAACCAAATAAAGCAGCCAGAACGTAAAAATAATAGTAAAAATAAAATGCGAGGCGTGCCCACGAAATGAAAGTGAAAACAGGCAACATTTTCTTGTCAACGGGCGAGAAAATTACACAAAGAAAACCAAGTCACATAAATTTGTCAGGACCTTGGAAAAGTAAAGAAGAAAAAGAAAACAAGGACAATGCCAACAGAAAACTCTTTGTGCAGGCAAAGCAACTTTTCGGTGACTTGGGGGGAAAACTTGGGGGTACGGCAAATTTATTTCAATGCTGATTCAGACGAAATGAAAAATAATCAAAATTATGCGAGTTAAGTCTAATCATTAGCAGGCAGGCCCGTATTATCAGAATAAAAAGTTGGGCAGCTGGAAAATGTGAGAGCATTGGAAAAAGTGGCAATGATTTTCCGCTACTTAAGAAACATATTATTAAGAAAACCGTACAAACTTGATTTGTGCTTTTATAATGCAGTTATAAGTAAGGGAAACCGAAAAAATCTTTATTTTTGCCGAAAATTCAAATCCTTATTTTTCACCATAATATATGAGTATTTTGCTCAAAACAATGGAAATAATGATCCAAATATGGAGTGTCATATCTCGTTGAACTCGTTATTTAATTCCCAATCGATTGCCATTTAAACCTGGAAATTTTTGAATTTTTCCATTTTTTGCAAAAAATGATGATGATACCCCTTATCAAAAATGCGAAAATTGGATCCAAATTTTTTTTTTTTAATTTAGACGGAAAGTGCTCTAATATTAATTGTAAGGCCGATAGCTGCTCAAAACAGTACGCCTTTTTGATTTTGGAGCATTTTTGACCAAGTTACAGCAAAAAAACAACTAGAAAAATCATATTTTTACATAAACTACAGGTCATAACTTTCCGCAAAACAAAAAGGTATTTTTACCAAAAAAAATAAATATCAACAAAAAATCGTTCAATATAATTATAGCACGAGAGAAAATAACAATGATTTTCCTCTCGATTTGTATTTTTATAATGATGAGAGCTTCTAGTAATTTCTGGTAATGACTTACAGCTTATAGCAGTTTATAGCTTTTTTCTCACTATTAAGCTTCATTATGTGTTTTATGACTGCGATTCAGATCCGACTGCTTATATTCTTTTTTATGATTTATGGGAACGTGCTGGCTTGGCATATTTCCCTTCGCTCACTTTCGGCAACATTGTTCCCCGGGACAATTCCCTCATTCTTCCCCATTATTCTCCGTTCTTCAGAATTCCGCAGATACAGATACAGTCTGGCGCCTCTTTCCCAGAGCAACTCGAATGTGGAATACAAGTACTCGAGATCATATCATATCGTATTTCGTACTCTGTCTTTCCTTGCCTCTCGAGTTCTTTTTTTCTGATATTCTTTTTTGGTTTCTGCACAGCACCTCCCACTTTTCGCTTTTTCTTTTTGGTACAGGAAAAAATTTAGACATTTTGTAGCCAGTTTATAGATGGTAAGGCGTCTGGCATTCCCCCACTACCCTGTACTCCCCCCGCACAATTGAGGCCTGTGTTTGGTTTTCGCCCATAATTTTTGTGCCGTTTTACAACAAACGGGCACATAACTCTCAGACTCGTCGACTTATGAAGGGGGTATGGAATGGAATGGAGCATGGACCAGTCCGGTCCGGGCTTATCTGTCGGCGCCGGGCCCCATCATCATGCCCACAAACCCCATGCCATATACCATATAGCATAGTACCATCTATGGAACCCGAGCCCCTCCCCCATCCACTGGGTGCAAAATGATTTTCACATGTTTTCCTTTATTTTCCTTTATCTGTTTTCGTTTTCGCACTTTTGTTGGCCTGGCTTGCATGTGTTTTACCACTTTTCGTTTTCCCTGTCGCATTTCCCTCCCCTTCAGCCAGCTTTTAATTAAAATTGCAGCTAAATTATGAACTTTTCTTTTCTCGACCGCCTGCAAATTTCTTCTCTGGGTCTTTGCCTCGACCTGACTTCGCCTGGCCGTATATCAAAAACGGCATTCTCTCTCTGTTCAAGAAGGCCAAGTGGCCAAATGGCCGAATGGCCAAGATGTGCAAATTTCGCTGGCCCAGTAATTGAAGTTTCCCTGCCCCTGCCGCCCGGAAAAATCGGGAAAGAGACTACGGAATACAGAACACGTAATGGGGCCGCAGCAAATGAACTGTGAAGGAAATTCGCGTAAAAATGCGTTTTATTGTTAACCAATTAAGCCGATCGGCTGCATCGTTGGCCATGCTTGAGTAAACCCCAATTCCCCTCCACACACACTCACCGATTTTCCGGGGCCACCGAAAATTTATGTGCTACTTTGGCTAATCGGCGGGAGCTTCGGAATATTTTTGTTTCTTTTTTTGGGGTTTTGGTTTTCCATTCAACGGTTTTCTTTTTCTGTTCTTTTTTTTGTGGCTCTTCTAATTGTCTGCCAATGGAATTTATGCGGGGTCTCTGGAATTTTCGCGGTTCCCGTTGAATGCGGCTGGCTTATCGTTCCGCAATATCAACTCAAACTCAATTACAATGCGTGTCAATGGCAATGATACGATGATACGACAATGGGACGCCGCTGCCCCGGAGGCTATTTGGTTGGGGGGATTGGGGATTGGAGTCCCCAACTGGCGGACAATATCGCTATTATTATTATCGTTATCATTAAGAGACGGGGAGGAAATAAAGCTCTTAATAAGATTCATATTGACGCAGGAGACGAGGATGAAAATAATAATGATAAGTCTGACTCTCGGTAAGGAATTCGAAGGAAGCGAAGAAGTCAGACCGAACAAACTGGAAATGCCCTTAAAGTATTTGGGTAACAGGGTTATTTTTAATAAAATATTTTTTTAAAAATAATAGAAATTAGAAAAAATTGTATATTAACTTGGAAAGGGTCACTTTTATTATTTTTATTATTACTTTTACTAAATCAAAAGCTGGAACATATTTTCTTTAAATACTTCTATTATTTCTAGTGAATCATAAATAATATTTAATATGTTCCTCTAGTAGAAACCTCTATCAAAGTATCCCCCTTTAACCCACATTACGGCCTTGACCCCGGAGAAGTCGAGTGACGGATGAAAATAAAATCCATTTAAAATTGTGCAGGAGCAGTAGCTGAATGACAATATGGGTTAAGAAGGGGGACAATGTCGTGTGCCTGCTGCATGGATAAGGTCCTTCGATAAGTACGATATTCCGTTCGTTCGTTCGGTCTGTCTGGTTGTCTCGATGTCTGGGTCTGAATCCACATCCATTGTTGCTGCTGTTGTTATTATTTGCCAAATAAGCGAACGGCCATCCGCGTTGTCTTCCTGCCACGCCCCCCCATTCTGGGGGGCAGGAGGCAGCAGCTCCTTTGTTGTCAGCCTTCGTCGATGATGCAGACATAAGATATGAAAAATATGAGGCAACAGCAATCACAATAGTCGCACCAGTCACCAAAGGCAATCACCAACCCATCCCCGATTCCCGATGCCGAAATCCCCCTCGACAGGCGCTCATGCGTGGGCATTGGCGGACAATCCCAGTAGAAACAGACGAGGGCACAAGAATAGAATTCATTTGCCTTTAAATATTTTGATAAAAAAGTTAAAGCTATATTGCTTTTATGAGTAGTATTAAAAATATAAACCAAGAAATATTTTACAAATTAACGAAATACCAATTAAAGTAATACCTTTGCTTTTGACCTCAACTGTTTGAGATGTACAAAGAGGACACGTGTGTGTCTGCACTTGTGTATAAATCACCCTTAATGCCCTTTTTCCCAAGTAAATGGGAGTGGGTAGTGGGGAATGTGGCCAAAGGAACGGAGACTTCGCCTCAGAGTCCCTGGAACACCATAAATTGAAGTCAAGTACTGCCAATTAGTTGCTAAAATTATTTTATGATATTTTCCGATTAATTAAATGAACATTTACGTCCTGCAAGTGGGCGGTCAGTCTGGAAAATCGATAAAGGGCAGAGAGGCGAATGAGGGAATAAAAAAAATATGTATAAATGAAAGGTACTGCTACTGCTTCCACATCCCTTAACCCCCCTGGTTTTCTTACTTCTTTTTTATTTTCATCAATCAAGGGCACAACAACAGCATCACCCACAACAACAACAACAACAACCATAATCAATCATAACCAAGACAGGGGATAAAGGGGGCCAGCTCAGCTACTCAGCTGCCCCCGCACCTGCCCGAAAAATAGAGCACGTAACAGTTTCCCATCATTATTAATTATTTATGAAATGCCCTGGGATCCCGAAACCATCCCATCCCATCGCCTTCCACCCTCTAAATCTATCCATCTAACAACGAAAAAACGAGGCTAACGGCAGGGACTGCCATTAAATGATTAGCTCTCTTCGGAACCGATGCTCTTCCATCCTTGATAATAACAAAATGGGAGCGGGTTAAGCTCGTTAGCCAATGACGGTAATTTGGTGAGACTATTGGCAAGCAAACTGCCTGCATTGGCCATTTGTTGTCACTTGACTTTGGTTATGTTTGAAAAGGGGGAAGGAAAAAGTGGTAACTTTACGCTTTCCGAAGGTAGTTTGTAAATGTGGGTTTTAGTTCTTAGATTATTATTATTTTCTATAATTATTTCCCGATTCTAATTAAAGGTAGTTGGTAAATGAGGGTTCTAGTTAGTTGGGTAGGTAGTTGGTAAATGTGTGTTCTAGTTCTTAGATAATAAATAATAAATTATCCCTTTCTAATCAAACCTTTCTCCTATTTTTCTTCCAGTGTGCCAGTGCAATGGACACGCCCGTCGCTGCCGCTTCAACCTGGAGCTATACAAGCTATCGGGTCGGGTTTCGGGTGGTGTGTGCTACAACTGCCAGCACGATACTACGGGGAGATACTGTCACTACTGCCGCGAGGGATATTACCGGGATGCCACTAAGCCGCCAAATCATCGCAAAGTCTGCAAGCGTAAGTCCGGCTTTCACTCGTCTGATTGAATGTTAAACAAGATGTTATAATTATAGTGGGAGGTTTTCACGGGGTATTTCCTTTATCTCTTACATTTGGTTATTTATTATAATAAGAAATGTCCCTTAACCTTTCTTGGATATAATATGAGGTATTTCCAAGGACTTAGTAATGGGTATTGCCTGTCTCTACTCCTGTCAGTCTGCCAGGGTTTATTGATAATAAGCTGTCATCAATCAGTGGTCCAATAAGCTGTCTGCCAGACAGATAGACAGACAGACAGATAGACAGCTGTGTGTGTGGAATAGATGGATGGATGGTTGGAGAGACGCTCTAATGAGGATGACATGTCCCCTCTTTCCCCCTCACAGGTTGCGACTGCCATCCGGTGGGTTCGACGGGCAAGACGTGCAATCACCTAAGTGGCCAGTGTCCCTGCAAGGAGGGCGTCACCGGACTGACCTGCAACCGATGTGCCCGAGGCTACCAGCAGACCCGCTCCCACGTGGCACCCTGCATCAGTGAGTTTGAGTTCTTAACGAAGCAGATCCTCGGATTCCATGGTTTCTAATCCGCTACTTTTATATTTTTTCCCATTATTATTTACCAATTAACAGAAGTGCCCACCAATGCGAACATGATTCAGGCCGAGAGTGCTGGCGGCGGCGGCGGAGGAGGCGGCACGGGTGATTATAAGGACGGCGGTGGTTCGCAGGTCGAGGAAATGAAGAAGTGTAAGTGCACTGGGCGCAAAAAATGCAAGAGTTTTTCAAGAAAAATATCCCTTTTCTAACCCACAGACTGCGGCAAGTGCAAGGCGAGTCCCAAGAAGCTGAATCTCAACAAGTTTTGCATGGAAGACTATGGTGAGTGGTTCGGAATGTTTAATATAAATATTAAAATATAATATATATTTAATATATTATTTCTACAGCCATTTTGGCCAAGGTCATTGGCCACGATCGCGCCTCGCAGGACATCAGCACCGAAAAGTTCTCGATAGAGCGACAGAACGAGATCTACAAGTACGAGATCAACATCCAGACGATCTTCAAGCGGAATCCCATGTCGGGCACGACCAGTTCCTTGCTGGGCAGAGGCAATATGATGCTGCTGGTGCCGCGCAAGAGCATCGAGTGCCAGTGTCCCAAAATAAAGCTAAACAAGTGAGTGGAATTATATCACTTAAGCCTTTAGATCAGAGATCACCCCTGCTTTAGATCCTTAGTAAAATCCAATCTAATTCCCACCTTTTCTCCTTACTTTTCTTTAAATTTTCCATCCAGATCGTATCTCATCCTTGGACGCGACTCGGAGGCGGCGCCTGGCTATTTGGCCATAGGACCCAGCTCGGTGGTCCTCGAGTGGAAGGACGAGTGGTCGCTACGCATGAAGCGATTCCAGCGGCGAGCACGCAAATGCAGTTGAATCGAACCGGAAACGGAATATGTCAGAGCGGATTTCAATTTCACACACTTGGCTAGGTATCGGTTTTTGTATAAATTGTACAGTTTACTCAAGTTTCTGACCTTCTTCGGCATCATGCTATAAATTAATCTAAACGAATCGAATCGGAAAATCGGTCCCTTAAAATCAAAAGTCCCCAGCCCGTCGTCAGCAATTCCCAACCGGAAGTAATACCTATATAACCTATAATCTCAGTTCCCTCCTAGAATATCATCTTCTTCTTCCGGTGGAAGGGGAGTTTCTAGTCTATAAAGCGCTTTACACAAAACACACAAAATACACAACCCCTACATATTATGCCCCTTTTTATGAAACACCAAATGCTAATTACAGTTACGTGCCAATGGGCCAATGGGCAGTGGGCGTGGCCGTGGCCGCTTGTGTCCATAACGGTTATGTTGGCCATAAAAAACAGTTATAAATTGAAAATAAGTGCGAGAAAGAGCCGAAAAGCGTCGCGTGTCGCGATTCTAGACAACCAAACAGGCAAACAAGCGCGAATTTTCCGGGAGGGAAATGGAAAATGGGAAATGGGGAAAACGGACAAACAGGCCAACACGTCGACACATAAGTGCAGTCATAAAGCAACAACAAAACACGGGCCTTGACCAGATGGCAAGCCGTCCACATCCACACTTTTGCCAATAAATAGTAGGGAGCCTCAAAATAGTATTATTAATAGTCAATAGAATAGAAGGTAGAATATCCCGTACCAATCAAATTTCTAGGCATTTTAACGAATGAAAAATTCTCTTAAAAAACAAATTAATTATTTGAATTTCTATTCCTAAAAGTACACACTTTTGCCCTAAAAACAGTATTATTTTTCCCTTTATATTCTTTATATATTATTTATTTTGGCCCTAGGTATGCGTTCACTTTTCAAAACAATAAAAACTTGGGGTTAAAAGTGCCATAAGAAAACCTAAAATTTAAATCAACTGAAAAACAAATAGATGGAAACTAAATCAAATCTCTTATGATGCCGAAAACTTAATACTCAAAATTAGTGATCATTGTTTAACTCATTCAATGCCGTTTTTAATTAGTCCATTATTGTCTTCTCTTTCAATGTCAATATTTATTTGTATACTTCATTTTGGGGGCCTTAAAACCAATAGCCTAATAATGAATATCCCTGACAATGCAGCTGGAGCAAACATTCTCGTTTTTTAGCAACCAAACCGTAACCAAGAATTTATTCAATTTCCAATATTTGCTAAAATGCTGTTTAAATATTTACCATTTGTTGCTAGTCCAACAATATTTATTTGTACTAGTTTATCATACTCTTTTTAGAGGAAGTACTTGGATTTTGTCCATAACTTTGCTTCAATGCTTAAAAAATATTTGCAAATATCACAGATGCAATTTCGAAGTCCTGCTGATTTATTTTTCCTAAAGCTTCTAGGGTATTCAAACTCAGGCTTGCCAAAATGAACTTATTTGTGTTGGTTTCATCTGGTTTTCCTGTATTTCTCAAGAATTTATGCAAACAGTTTTTGCCGATAATTATGCACATGTTTATTGACAATCTGCTGGTTGATTTTTCACGCGCTTTTGCATACCAATTTGTTTTTGATGGATGCATCAATAAAAAGAAATAAAAATAACAGCGGCAAAGGCGCAAAACAGCGGCAAAACAGGCATTTAAAATGCATTTATTTGAATTTAATTTTCAATTTGAATTATGCATGCAAATTGAGAGCGCATCGGAAACTGAAATCGAAGGCGTCAAGAGTTGAGCGTAAACTGGAGGTGTTAAGCGATCGGGGGAACTGGTTGTAACTTGTTTTTGGAGCACGATGTGTAGGCCACGCAACACTGGGAACACTCATCTCCAGCAGCTTCTTGGTACAGTAAGCCTTTCCGAAGACGAATTTTTAGGAATTGAACAATAAAAAAAAAGCAAAAATATATCGGAAAAAATCCAAATTATTTTTATATTTATTTTTCTTCATAAGAAATAACTTTTTAAATAGTTTCACAATAGTTTCCTTTACTGGGTGCCCACTGTACATGCTTGATAAGCATCAGAGACAAAAACCAACACGTAACACAAATTGAACAGCAGAACAAACAGAGAAATTAGCTGCGAGAATGCACTCTTCAGAATAAATTTATAAAATTCTTTATAAATAAAAAAAATAAGAAACAGGTTTGCTAATATTTATTTTAAGCGAAGAAAATGATATGAGGAAATAAATATTTCACGCATTCAAATGAATAATAAAAATTTCTCTCCGTGTACTCCGTGTAAAAATGAACTTCGTGGGCCCCCCAAATAAAAAAAAGCAACGATTGCAGTTACATTTTACATTCGATGTTGCTGCGGATTAAACATGTTTCGGGCTCAAAAATGTAACATGATATATGACAGCCAAGTGTCGAACTTGATAAATGTTTTAATGAATTTATTTTCGTGTTTATGCGCTGCCTGTTCGGCCATCTGACTGAATCGAGATCTTTAGCTGACTTTTCTGTTCGTTTTGGTTTCGATTTGGTTTCAGTTTCGACACGACACCTACTCTACTCTCTGGGTCTTTTGTGGACGTCTGATTCTGATGTCTGATGTGTTGTGTCCCCCGTCCATATGCCACATATCTCATTCCCATTCACAAGTTATTCAGGTCCGACCGTGACCATGATGTATGATAAATCAAAATGGGGGCAACATATGCAGGGACAGTCGAGAGTCGAGAGTCCCGAGTTGGACAGTTAACATGCTGCGGCATTTAAGCCGAGATTTGTGTTGCGTTCGCATTCGCATTCACTCTCCGCCCAGGGACGCATAATTAGCTCTGTGGATGTGGATCTGCGGATCTGTATCCATATCTGTTTCTGTTTTCCGCCGGCCAACGTGGCGTATGAGTCATGAACACACGTGTGCCCACAACATGCAGGCCAAAAAACGAAAAAAGAGAGGCGGAAAACGGACATTCTTCATGGAAAACGCGTGTCCTGAAGCCAAATAAATGCAAAATTGTCAACTTTTTACTGTATACATTTATACGCATTTTTATGCATTTTATGCAGGATGCTGAACTGCAAAAAATTGATGCTATTAACTATTCAAAAGGTTTGGCATTTAAAAGGGATTGTATTTTCAGTTTTAAATTTCAGAAAATTAAATACAAAATATAACTATTTGTTGAAATAATGCCGAATTCTTCAGAAAATTCAGAAATGGTTCCCTATTTTCCATCTTCACCTGAAAATTTCCCAAAAATAGCCTTGAATAAATGCTGACAAATAGTCAGTGAAAAAATTGTTTCCACAACGCAACAAAAAAAGGGAAATGAAATGAGAATGAGAAATTCAATTGTGGCCGGCTTCATGCCTTCATGCATATTTAAATGAGATTTTGCGTTAACTGAATTTTTTCACCGGCATGCGGCGAAGGCGGGGGGCGTGGCCAGTGGGGCCTTGACAAAAAAAAACACATATTAATTTATATAATGTACGTGTACGCACAGAGATATAAAACATTTATATAGATTTAAATAAATTGGGTTCTGTTCTTCTCATTTCGTTCTTTTTTTTCTCCTCGGTTTCCTGTTTTCTGTTTTATTTTTTGCAATTTTTGTTCGTTCATTTAACGCACAACGGGGGGCGGGGGGCGTTGGGGGCGTGGCAACAGGCGTGTTGTCGCATATGTATTTTAAATAGGATGCAGGTCCCATTAGCATATAAATTGACGCAGCGACAGTTGAGTGGATAAAAAACGGATAAAAACTCTTAACCAAGAGGCTTTGCAAATGAAGGGGTAGGGTTGGTTCGTAACTGTTAACTAGCATTTGGTACAAAAAAAGTATTAAAAAACTAATTGAATTGAAATGCCCACCAAACATCAGAAACACAAACACAGACAAAACAAGCTGACAAATTGACTTCCGTTTCCGCTAATTCAAAACAAATGAGAAAATTGAAAAATTGAAATTTCTTCGAAAGAATGAACTTACTTAAGTACTTAAAGAGAGAGATGCAAACATAACCAAATTAGTCATTAGTTGATATGTCAAGCCGTTTTACCTTTATTTATTTACACCTTTTTTTCCTAACCCTAAACTTAATTATAAATGAATACCCCTCAAAAACGGAATATATTTATAAAGAAGGGGAAGCCGGAGATCTAAAATGTATTTATATGTTATATGGTAGATCCCATTTCCCATTTGGTTTATATGGCCTACTAATCACATATCCTTCAGCCACACGCAAGTAAACACGATTAGTTATTAAATAATATTTAATGTTTTTTTTTTCGGTCAGACTAATATGAATATATCATGCGTGTGTTTGTCCAGAACGAATTATTCATATGGTAAGCCTACAGAAAAAAACACAAATATCATACATATTAAAAACATAAATATGCCTAATCAAAAATCAAAAACAAAAGAGAGAAACACAAAAAAGAAAACCAATTTTTTTCTTAGATTTTTTGTAAATACTCAAAAAACGTAACGAGTGAAGAGGAAGAAGATAGAACTATATATATAGATACACCTTGATTACAATTTCGATTATTGCTAATTATTATGTTGAATCATAAATTGCACACTCATACACACACACACCAACACACACAAAAGCAAGAGAAATTCACATTGTCTGATATTAAAGTATTGTAGTTGGTACTTATATAATATATATATAAATATATATATATATAATTAAATATTAAAATATGATTAATCATAATACATAAAGTATGCAATTTTTGTGGCAAAAGAAAACAAATATATCAAAGACAAGCAGATGGAGCAAAATCCAAGTTATATATATATATATATCATTTATGTGTACTTGAAAAAGTAAAAAACCGAAAGCAAAAAGAGCATGAAAGTTTAATCGAATTAAGTGGACAAATTGCTAATAATAATAAAACTAATAACGAAATCAAGCCAAAAACTGTATAAATTCGGGGATTAAACTAGGCACTGGGTACAATTTTTGTTTGTGTAAAGGTAAGTATAGTGGAAACACCTATGAACGAAATAAAAACGATTGCAGCTTCAACATTCGAAAGTTCTGAGTTTTTATTATTTCCCTTGTTTAAGCTAAAAAAAATTGATAGGTGCAAAATATAGATTTGAATTTTAGAGAAAAATAAACAGTATTTTCGGTTTTTCAGTCGTTATTTGGACAAATCAAGGCCGAGAGCTAAACGACCGACTGTTTTGAATATCTAACAACCTAAACTAACGATCCGCATCACTATTGGGAAAATAAAATTTTTTACAAATTTTCGCATTTTTGATAAGGGGTTACATCATGATATTTTGCAAAAAATGACAAATAATTAAAATGTCTAGATTTAAACGCAAATCAATTCAGAATTTAACTACGAGTTCAACAAGGTAGTACACACCATATTTGGACCATTATTTCCATTTTTATGACCGAAATACAATTTTTTTTGGAGGGAAAATCAGGATATTGATTTTTGTACAAATTTGACGTTTTTCTTAAGGGATTTTTTGCTGTTAATTGTCCAAAAATGCTTCAAATTCAAAAAGGCGCACTGTTTTGAGCAGCTAACAACCTAATATTTAATATCAGTGCACTTTTTGTCTGAATTGAAAAAAATAATTTGGGACCCAATTTTCGCATTTTTGATAAGGGGTTACATCATGATTTTTTGCAAAAAATGACAAAAAATTAAAATGTTCAGATTTGAACGCAAATCGATTCAGAATTAAACTACGAGTTCAAAAAGGTATGACACTCAATTTTTGGGCTATTATTTCCTTTGTTTTGGCCCAAAAACTAATATTTTAGGGTCAAAAAAATAGATTCGAATTTTAGGAAAAAAAAAAATTTTTTTTCTGTTTTTCAGTCGTATTTTGGGCAAGTCTTGGACGCAAATCGAATCCTCCCTTTGTCGAGGCAATAAAGTCGTCTCGTCTCGTCTCGTTAGGGGGAAGGCCCATCTGGAGCTCCTCGGTACTTATTGCGATGGTCCCGAGCTTCCTATTGATTTTGCATTTGCATAAGCAGTTTATTGTGCCAGCAACCCACACACAAACTCAAAGTGGGCCTCCTCTACTCGACACTTTTGGCCCGGGAAAGTCCAAATCGCATAGTGCTGCATACTTTTTGGGGAGGGAAAACTTGCCACTTGTCCTTGCGCCGGGCGAAAATTAATTTAAAGCGCAATTTAAGTAAAATTTGCGCCCGGGGGCCGGTTCTTAGTTTTATTTGAGCTTTGCTCTCATTGCCAGGACTCAGGACTCAGGTCCTTCGAGCAGTGAAACCGAAACTAATACGCATATTTATCAAATTTCACGGCTCCGGGGTGGCTGCTTCTGCCGTTGCATTCGAAGTCGTGCCTAAATGTACATCCACTGTTGCCCGGAAAATGCCCTGCAGCGCTTTCAGTTTCGTCCTTCTGCAGGACTTCAACCGCAATGCAAAGCGACGGACAAAGTTTTTTGGTCTGGCAAACTTGACAAAGAAATAAAAGTGGCGCAGAAATGTAAGTGGCGAGGCACGTCTGTTTGCGGAGTTTGCTCGAAGAGGGAGATACCCTGGCATCGGCATCACGTAGCCCAGAAAGTAAGTGGCTGTCAGCAGGAGGAGGATATTCAATTTTCATTGGGGAGTTTCAGAAACTTGAAACTAAGGGGTAATGCCAAACGCAGAGCAACTTATTTATTTATTTACACAAAAGTTAAGGAGAAATTGCAGTTTAAAAAATAAATTATATATTCTTTAAAAATAAGAAGAAAGGCAGATGGCTTTAAAAAGTCAACGTTTATCAGCTGTAGCAGCTTTTGACTTATTACAAAAATTATAAACAAAAAAAATAAACAGATCATAAAAAAATGTGTATCCATTATTCATTCCAAATATTTGAGTTTTCTTTCTACTTTTTTTATTTTATTTTGATTTTTGGTTTACAAGAATTTTTTTTAATTTTTCATAGATTTCGCATAACGAATCATACCGGCTTGCCAATAATTGAGTGAAAGGGACAGGCGGCTAGTCGGACAGGAGAAATAATGATTCGAGCCTTCGAAATCCGTACTCTCCCCTGCGGAAAGGTATCATGGTTTTTCAAACAGGACATAAAAAAAGCGCTAAAACTCCGCTGGGTGGTGGATGGTCGATGGTCCATAGGTCTGGTTGCCAATAGCAATAGCCAAAGCAATATGCAGGGACAAAGCGGCGTCTGTCTGTGGCAGACAGCCCCCCGCCCCCCGGAAAGCCACCCAAAAACCACCCAGAAAGCCCACCCACTCCCCTACGCGCCTGCACGCTTCATAAGCGCAGCGAATGAATTTTAATTTGATTAAAGTGAAAAATTGAAAAATGCTTCTTGTGCTGCTGCTTCGCCTTTGCTTTTTTCGGGACTCTATTAAACGAACCCAAATTCGCCACCCTGCGGAAAGATATACGGGGATTAGTTGGCCAATCAGCGGAGCAGCAGGCAACTGGGATTCGGTTTGGGTTTGGGTTTGGGATGGGGATTTTGTGGCCTGCTGCACAACCTCATCATCTTCATTCTGGCCATGGTTGCCATGGCTGGAAATTCCAAATGCCGATTGACGACGCAGTATTTTCCTTCCAACCACGACGATATCCCAGAAAGATGGGAACGGGAATGGGAATGGGAACTTAGGCCGCATTAAACCTTTTTCCCTCTAATATTGTTGTTTTTCGTTACACCAACCACCCAAAGCCACCGAACCAACAGCCAGACCCTTGAAAACGCTCAAAGACTTTTCCATTCGGGCCTTCTAGGAAATGCTTAGCCCGGCTAAGAAGCGTTTTTTTTTTTTGCCCTCTGCTGAAGGAATCGTCTGCTGGAATTACGCCGCTTGGATTTCAAGTGCCGCCACTTGCTGTTGCAGCAAATATAACACAAAAGTTGACACAGCACCAAAAGCACTGGAAAGAATTGTTAAGTCTCACGCGAAAATCGAGGAATTAAATGCAATATTAGTTTTAATAAAAATTTAACTTACGGAATGTATTTTTCTTAGGGAATAAAAAATAAAATAATATTTTATGTTATTTAAAAAAAAGGAAATATATTTTATAAAAAGAGTTTAAGAAGTTTAAAAAATGTATGATTAAATATTTAAATTATCTAAAAACAAATTATTTTCTTAATAAAAATAATTAATGAAAAAGGCGATAAATCGTTCTTAATATTTTGTGCCTATAAATTGGCTTTTATTATTGACTGTTGAATATTGTTAGAGCATTCAATACCATACAAAATCCATGGAATCGAAGTAACTTATCCGAAAACTTCAGGCAGGCAAGGCAGCATCTTTGGATTAAGTTCGCCCCTGGCTGAAGACTGAAGACAAGCTGAATACTGCTGCTTCATAGTTGCAAATTGCCGGAGGCCAGAGAGACGCCATTCGCCAGTCGAGTGAAACAGAATTTTTCACTGAACCCTAAACGTGTTTGGGGCTTGGGGTTTGGGATTGGAGATGCAGAAGTCGAGGCTGGAGAAAGTGGGGTGACCGGGACTGTTGGCATTCACATGGGGCGCATTGTGAAGTGCAAAAAAGGCGTATTTTACAAGATTTTTATTACATATAAATGCGAAAAGTATTAAAAAAGTAAACTTTTTATAGACTTTTCATGGGGCGGGGGAAAGTGGAAAGGGGAATGGGGCTAAGTGCGGAACGAAAAAGAAGTTGTACTACGCTTTTTGTCTGGGCGTCATGATGCGTGTTAAGGGAATACCAACACACGCGTAGGCCAAACACACACACACACTCAGAGCGTGGAAATGCTTTCACTTGGCTACAAGGAGCACAAGGATAAATGCACTACGCTTAGTTGGGAAGATCAATCGCACGGCATTTAACTTTGGGAGCATATTTAAAAAGTATTTTAAATAGGAATATAAAAAATAAAATTGTAAACAAAAGATTCATGGAATAATATTGTATTCGAAAAAGAAATATTATAATTTCAAATATTAAATGTAAAATAGAAAAATTATTTATTAATAAATAGATAACTGTTTATGTTAGGTACTTATATTCTTGATAATAATTTCAAGAATTGGAATACGACACAAAAAATAAAAAAATATTATTTCAAATATTAAATATAAATATTAATTACTTTAATATTAAAAACTTAAATACTAGAAAGTAAGAAATTTCCCCTAAGTATGTAACAGTTTTCCCATCAAAGATCGAGGGCTACATGCTCTAGCATACTTTTGGGCAGCACTTTTTCAAGATATTCTAGTTCTGGAATTATGTAGGTGCGTTCCAGTTTTCCATCTCAAAAGACCACATGCTTTTTCCCTTGAGATCTCCCATCTGGATTGCAGGTCAAAAATCTACCACGACAGCCGAATTTCGACCGCAAATCTTGGCCGCTTTTCCTTTTCCTCTACGCCTTTGGGGCTTTCCCCCCAACTCGTATTCACTCGTATTCCTTTAGGTTTTTCGCTTTCCTGTTATTGCAAGGACATGGATGGGGGTGGGGATGGAAGGGGGTTGGGATGTGGCTGTCGATGTGAAGTTGCTGGCGTTGTAACTGTTGTTCGAAATGTTTTCCAGCGGCCGGGAGTTGTGGGTTTTTCCTACCGCCGACTTTTCATATTTTTCTTAACAATTCGCTCGCCACCTCCGCACTTTTCCACACACTTTTCCGACCCCCGCCAGCAGTCTGAACACTTTTAAATTTTATTTTATTACTATAACAAGACATAAGTAGGCATAATGGGGCCCTATAAAATATTTAAAAGGAAATTGGCATAGAAGTTTTTTTCGGGGCTCGGTGGGCTACGGGGGTTACATTTACGGCTACGTTTCCGTTTCCGGGTTTCCCAAGTACTAGAAACCAAGTACTTTCGCCCCATTCAGGCGGCCACTTCGAGGATCCCGAGGATGCTGGCACCTAGAGAACCTGGAGACGATTAACGGTGCTCCTTATTGAGAGTTACTTAAGGTTAATGCACTCCAAAATGAGATGTGGCTGGCGGAAAACGGATGCCAACTCCAGGGTAAGAAAATAACTTTGTATTGTAAAAAATGTTATATTTTTCATATTTAATTATGTAAGAATTTTATATTCTATTTTGTATTACACATATTAAAGTTAAGTTACTTTTATTACAATATTCATTACATTTTAATAAATGCTTCGTATTGTAAAAAATGTTATTATTCATAATACAACTAAAAATATAAATAGGAAAAATAAGAAATTTATATTTTATTTATATTGGGATTTCAAAAATTACAATTTATGGTTAATAGGCAGTAAAAAACGTAGAAATGATCGTTGATTTATTATATAATACAGGCAGACATTTAAATAAGCCATTTATATTTTATTTTTTATTACACAAATTAATGAAATTTAAAAATGATCTTGTATGCAATCGAAATTTGTCGCAGTGTGAGGTTCTCAACTTGGCCACATTTTCGACACTCCCAACGTGTTTTGGCCAATTTCCCGCCCCTTTATGCCCCCAACTCCCCCCGCTGTCAATCATTTTCACAAACGATTTGTCAGGCGATGCCGCGATGCAAATAAGCCGAGACACCCCCGCCCATAATTTCCCCCAGAACTTGGTGACTTTTTCTTTGGATCCCGGGATCATCGTGATTTTTTTCAACTTTTCATTTTTGCGCTTGAGCTGCTTTAACTGCTTTAGCTGCCGAAATTGGCGCCTGAAGCTAAACGGGATTAGATGGATTTCCAGATTTCGTAGCATATGTGCGGGGGCAACTATTCAAATAAGAAGCTCACATCAAATGGCTTGGAAAATATGGCAGCTCGCTTTTCTTTTTATTGGGGTTTTCTTTGTATTTTATTCTTCAGCACCCGCAAACGCGAATAGATGATGTCCCAGTCGAGATAGGCGCCCACAATGTAGCGAGGACTGATTTCCGAATCATCGTAGCCGGTTCTTCCATGCAAAAGTCGGATGTTGTTGAAGGTGAGGACGTCGCCGGGCTGCGTTTTGAAGGCGTGGCTGTCGGCGATCGCCAGGCGGACGAAGCGGGCGTAGGACTCGTACCAGGGCAGCACCTCCGCCAGCGGCACGTTGAAGTGGCTGTCCCGCTGCGGAACGCTGTGGTTCACCCGCGTGTACCGCCCCTCGGCGTCCAGGCTAAAAGGAGAGGAGGGGAGGGGAAGGGGGGAGGTAGGGAAGGTCAACACACATTGGAAAAATCAAGCAAATAGAAAAAACTAACCCTGATTTACCACAGTTGCCTCCATAATGGGCTAATTTCATTGAAGAAGTGATGTTAATTCAAAAGTTATTCAAAGGATAATAATATCCCATTTGAACTATAAGGTTTTGGTACTTAAAAAACCCCGCAATAATTAAAATTTTAAATGGAACTATATTATAGCATCTAGAATCACAAATTAAAATTTCTTATACCCCTCATACAAAAATCCAGTAAATTACCTTTTATTTAATTTAAAAAAAAAAACAGCAATAAAGAAAAACCCATAAATAACAAATATCATTATTATAATGACCCATTGTTAGTTCTTCGCTTTGTAAACATCAGTATCAAAAGGCCTATCATTCTACCTAATATTTTCGAACTATATTTTAAGCATTTATGTTAAATAAATATTATTTTGCATTTAAATTCAGATATTTTCTTGAACCATTCCCTGCTAATCTAGGGTATAAACTAGGGTATGGGTATTTAAGCACTCACCATATGACCGGCGCCCGCCAGATGTTGTGGAACTTCCTTCCGTCCTCGCTGCCAATGTCGTTCCAATCGACGATCACGCGACTCAACCTCTCGAAGTCCTCGGGATAGTCGCGTCTCAGGATATCGGCAATGTGGAAGCCGTCGACGAGCATGTTGCTGCCGCCGGGTGAATCCGTCTGGACGACGCAGTGCAGGATATTCACACTCGGCTTGTACTCGTAGTAGGGCAGATCGGTGTGCAGGGGCAGGGGAAGCGAGAGGTAGGCAAAGTTCTGGGCACCCGGCTTGGCCTGAACCACGAACTCCTCGCCGTAGGTGGTGCGTCGAATGAAGCCCACCCGCTCGGCCAGGCGACGCACCACCCCCTCATCCAGGGGAGCATTCCGGAGGAGGGCCACCCCATGGACGGCCAGCGATTGGAGCCACTGCATCAGCGTGGAGTCCTGGGACATCACCTCCTCGTAGTTGAAGTGCCTGGCGATATCCTGGAACTGCTTGCCCGACCAGTGCTGCGTTTCCGGTCGGTAGAACTCCCTTAAATACTCCTCCTGTTTTTCCTTCTGGAAACTGCGATCTTTGAGCCACTCTAGGGTGAACCGACTCTCATGGTGGTCACTCCACCGCACCACCACCTGCTTTTCCTTCCCGTCAGCCACCAAATCCACTGGCTTTATCCTGGTATCGAAGTTGTCCCAGTCCAACTTGCGGGACTTGGAGCTGCCGTGGAAGCACTCGTCGCACAAACAATTGTCACGCAGCCAAACTGAAGGAAAAATCAGCTTTTCCGGCTTTCCATCTTCCGGCTGAACTTCGATATTCGTTCCATTCACGATCCTCGCACTGATTTGGCGGGTAAATTGGGTATGCTGTTTGATGGTCCTCAGTAATCTCGGCACCCACATGCTTATTTATTTGGAATATTTTAATATTTCTTATAGAGTAGCGTAGCCCACCGATCGACTTGAGCATTGAGTGCCGAATGAGGCGCCGGAGAAAGCGAGCATCATCATCATAATCAGCGGCTAAATCGGGTCTTTGGACTTTGGCTGCCAGCTCATTCAAACAGGGGACAGAGGCGTGGGATCTGAATTAAATAAATAAATTATATATTATTATTAAATATTATAAATTTATTTTGTTAATTATATAGTTATTAAATAAGTGTACCTATTGAATATTTATTTAAAGAGAAAGCATTAGAAAGAAATCATAGATAAACAAAATATCGAATTTAGTATTTTAAGAGACTATTAATAGCCTTAAAATAAATATTTAAATTAAATATAATTATTTTATTATTATTTTATCAGATAAAAGTGGAATCATAGATAAGCAGAATATTAAATTTAATGTGCTTAAAGACTATTTATTATATTTCACTTACTCAAGAACCAAGATACATAAATTTATTTAATAATTTTAATAAATATCTGCTAGAGCCCCTTGAAAATAACTGAACGCACGCCTCTGGGTGAGAGCAAAGTGTTATCAACGAACTAGTTCCCATGCCAGAGAGCACATCTGCGACAATCTCTGTTTTGTTTTGTTAATTTTAGCTCTTAAAATGTAGACACCCCGGGAGTAGAGAAATGCGATAAGATTATCTTAGTCAGAAAGAGATAAAATGATTAAATTGTAAATGTTGCCATAAAGAATATTTAAAAACAACTTAAAATTTACTAAAAATCACTTAGTGACTAAAATTTGTAAGTTATTTTCTAAAAAATTCGTATATTTTTGCTGAAACTTGAGTTTTTGAATGCCCACCGAACATCCCACCAACGAATTGCTTGACGTCACCGGCTGAGAAGCCAGCTTCCCCAACTGTTGGTCGTTTGCTGTGGCGAAGCGGTCAATCAATCAATCAATCAATCAATCAATTGAATCATCTTTGTCCGCCTGCGGGTCTCTTCGGCCCGTTCTCATTCCAATTCCTGTTCCCAGTCCAAAACCAAAAGCAAGAGCCTTTAAAGGGCCTCGCCCAATTCTCCTGAAAGCAATAAAAATTGCAGCACCTTCTGCGGGCAAAGCTGACCTGTTGCACAATTGAATGGGAGCAGTTGCGACTCGAAAGGGCAGCAGTTGCACCTACACTGGGAGAAAGTCAACAGTATAATGCACTAAAAACATTTTTAGAAATATTTAATAAGCCACTCTAATTTAGAAAAGAAAATGGGTTACTCTTCTATAATAAATATAAAGTGTTAAAAAAAATATAATAATGTATATTTATGATTATTTTCTTATATTTTTATGTCGCTCCGCTCTTTGTGATTTTTACTACTTCCCTTTTTTTAGGAGACCTTTATAGATTATATCAAGAAATTATCAATATATTTTATTCTACATTTATAGTAGTTTAATGGTAATTAAATATATATAAATAAATTAAATTGTTATTCTCTTTCTGTTATTTGTTTAATTTCTTTATAGTTTCTAAACAACTAAAATGTTTCTGTGTGATTTTTATTCATTTCGAATCGTTTTTTCAGAGATCCTCTGCCGGGGATTTACCTAAACAGTTTTAAATTGTTATGAACGATAAATGAGTTAGTTTCTGAGTGCAGGTGCAGCTGAATGGGGTGGTGGATTGGGGATAGTGGACAGGGTCCGATGGATGCCCAAATGTCTGCCTGCCCTGACCATTTAAAGCGCGGACAATAAATTCTTCATGCGAGGCTGCCTCTGCGTTTCCAGCCGGAGGCTTTTGGAAGCTGAATGCTGGGATGTTGGATGTTGAATGTTGCAGAAATTCCCAAGCCGGCGGCCATAAAAATGCGGCTCACATGTGACAACGATTTGTACTTTAGCCCCTTTTATGGCACTCGACTGTTCGCTGTCCTCCGGCGACTGTTGCATTTTAAAAGCAACTCAGGTCCGCGTTTTCCCCATTCGCATTCGTATTCCCCACTCCCCATCCCGATTCCCCTCTGGCTTTACTCCTCCGCCTGGCTTCGCAAATCTCAAAATCGCATCAGATTATACGAGTTATGCGATGCAACAGGCTCCCGTTTTTGGTCATCTGCCGTTTGTCGTTTGTCGTTCTCCGTCGTTTTGTAGGTCAACGCCTCCTTTCGACCAGAAGTTCAGAAGCTACCCATCCATCCATCTATGAAATACCCCAACCCTCTGCAATTGGGTCAATTAACACTGACGACCCTTGAGGTTGATATCATATCACATCATATGCTTCAGCTTTTATACTTCAATATGCCGAGCGATGATTATCATGTCACATGCCCCACAACACTTAAAACGAATCTTTGTTCTTGTTCCAGCTCCTTGTCTTCTTGTCCGAAATGTTAACAGTTTTCGTTTCATGTAATTAAGTGCCGCCTGCTGATCCACTAGTTTTTATCTTTAAGACCGAACTGGAGAGCAGTGAAAGCTTTTTGGCTTTCCTTTCCACGCAGCGAAAGGAAAACAATGGGGTAAATAAGGGAAAAGGAAAATGTTGGGGGCTGCGGGGGTTCAGGATGTCGAATGGATTAGGATGAGGATGGGAGGATGAGGATGGGATGGATTTGGATGGGTCTGTGTTTGCAAACTGTCTGGGCGAGACAACGTTGTACGTGCGGATGATGTCCGCCGGTCCGAGATCCGAGATCCGGCGTTTTGATACCCGGCCACCAAGCAGGGTAGATGTATGTATAGGGTATTATAAGATTCACTGATTATAGGGAATAGTGAGCATATTTATACTCATGACCAGGTTGATGTGGAGGCCATCTGAATAACCGTATTATAAAATAGAAAATTCGGTTATAGTAGAGGAAAAACGTTCATGTTTTCAATTTTTTCGCCATTATCAAAAACTTTCATTAAAATAAAAAAAGGAAAAAAAAATAAATAAATAAACCATAAAAAATAGAATAGAAATAGTTAATAAATTAGACTTAGAAAACCCGATTTGTTTTTCTAAATATTTAATTTTTACGAAAATACGTTAACAACAATATTTCAAAAAAATTGTTAGGTAAATAAATAGATAAAAATCCAACCGGGAAATCCTCTCACGTTAAACGTGCTTTTTAGAAACTAATTTAAAAAAAAATTAAAAAAATAAATATATAAATAATACCACACGACTTTAAGTATCTCGTAGTCTGTCATCCTCGCAAGACTCTGGCGCCTTCCTTCTGATTCCTTCTGCCTCTGCTGATTGCACTTCAGTCGGGCCAGGACTGAGGACCAAAAAATGTGTTAAGAGTCTAAACACGAACGTGCCGCTCAAAGGCCACTCGTTAACAGAGGCGAAAGGAGGAGGAGGTTGGTGTTCGGGTTCGGCAAGGAGGTTCGATATCGCTATGGACAGCAGCTATTGGTAAATATTTTCACTATTTGCGACAGGCCAAGATGCCTCGATGCCTCGATGCCTCGATGCCTCAATGCAGCTAGAGCCACCCACAGTCACAAGCCGAGTCCCCTGAGAATGGCGCCCCACTATGTAGCTTCATATATCTTATTTTTTCCGGCGGGAACGAGCCTTTCTTTTCTTTTCCTTTTTTTTTTGGCAGGTGGCATCTGCAACATCCTACAAGATGGCAATGTCTGCAGCCATTTCATTTGGCTGCTTATTTTATTGCCCCAGAGCCCAGTCAGTCAGACAGACAAACAGACAGACAGTCAGCCAGTTGGCAAACAAACAAACAAACAAACAAACACCGGGTTAGGCCAGATTCTGGCCAACCTGTGCATATATATTCCTATTTTCGGGCTCCAATGGAGTCTTCATTACGAATGCGGCTGGAAAAAGGAAAACGAAAAGGAAATGCAATTCATTGCCCAAGACATTCGGACTGGCAAGGAGGAGTGTATCCAGTATATCCAGGAAGATCCTTGCAGGTGAACTGCAGCAAGTGGCGCATTCCTGAGGATTTCGAAATTCGTGGCAGGGACCCCAGGTGAGTCGAAACGAATGAACTCGAAGAACGCCAAGGGTTTACGGAATTCGCGACATCTTCTTAAGGAAGACTGAGTTGAATGTAAGCAATAACCCTATTCATCAAATATATATATATTTTATTTAATTAATTAATTAATAACTTTTCCTGGGACTTTATAATATTATTTTAAATATGAAGAATTCGTTTTAGTAAATATTATTAATTTAAATTTGATGGTCCATTTTGTATTTTGTCCTTTTTTAATATTCCTTAGGCTTATTAACTATTCCTGGTACTTATTAATATAATTTTTAGTGCACAGAATTTTTATTATTTATTTAATTTATTAGAACCATTGTGTAATAATATTTTCTGTTTTTTTTGTGATAGTTTTATTTGTTTAAACATTCTTAAAATTTGGCTGTAAGTATTGGAGTGACGAATTCATTCGCTTTAAAGCGGGTTTTCCGCTCCGTTTTTCCCGTTTTCCGTTCCATTTTCCCCGATGTCAGACCTGAGCGAAGATGAAGTCAGCTTCGAGTTCAGTGTTCACTGTTCAGTGTTCAGTTTGAGTGCATGCATAAGTGTATTTATGTATATAGCCTGCATAGTTTACACATTGTCTGCCTGACAGTCGCTGTCTCCTGAAGACGGAGAAGTCGCTGTCCCTGTCCCTGTGAATTTTCCCCTTGGTTTTCCTTTTTTTCAGCCAGTCTGCCAGTCTGTTATCTTGTTTTCCTTGGCTGAGCTTTCGGTAAGCCGCGTCTAAATATCCTTTTTCTCTGCTCTGCAATTTTTACAGCTCATTCCGAGCGGCACTCCTTGAGGAGTTGTTTGCGCATTGTTTACAGCTTTGTCCTGTGAAAAGGAGGGAAAAAGGGGATGGGAGGGGGCTAACCCCAAGTATCCTGCGCTTAATGCAGTCTGCATTTCGCCCGGCAAGTGGCAGGAATACAAATCAAATTAACCTCTTATTGCAGCTGAAACCGAGGCGAAGAATAAGAAGAAAACCCCCTCCTTCCGCTTTT